TTATTAAATATAACTTGCATTTAAATTTAAGTAAATATTTATATATAATTCTTTTTATTTTTCTTTTGAATCATTTTGTTTTTATTTTATTTTATATATTATTCTATTCTATATTATTAAACTGTATTCAATGAAAACAATATAAAACCAATCGTTTTTTTTCGTTAGAATTTTATGCCGTGTAACTAAGTATTTTATAAATCGGATAACCGATATACTATTCTTTTTAAGCAAAAGATGACAGCACGATATTCTGACCAAATAGACGACGAATATTTGGAGAATTCTGAAGTTCTTCAATTACAAGAGCGGCTCCTTAGTGGTAAGTGAAATTAAGATTTTATTACTGAATTTTATCGTCATTTTATTATTGAGTTAGTTCGTCTGAATTATTAGAGCAGGATCGCGATCTAGATAGATTGAGTGATGCTATAGGGCGTCAAAGAGAATTAGGAATATTGATCGGTGATGAACTGGCTTATCAAGTTGAATTATTAGAGGATACAGAGTACGCGGTCGATCGGACGGAAAGAGCCCTAGATAAAGCAAAAAGAAATCTCACAAAAATCTCAAAAAAAGTTAAAACTAATAGTAAATATGTTTTCTTTTTATTTGTTTCAGTCTTGTAATTTTTTTCAAGTAAATTTTTTTTTCCCTCTCTTCTTTTTTAGGTCACATATGCGCAATTTTTTCATTAATTCTCATATTAGTCCTTGTTATAATCGTCCTTGCTAAAACATAGTTTAATTTTGAATAGATTTGTATTTCACCTGTAGTGGTTTCAGCCGAACCCTACAATTAGAAGGAACACTAAAAATATTTATTAAGATGATAGTATATATTTCTATTAACTTTCCCAATCATAGTAATGATATTATTCTGCGAAATTATAGTCTTCTTTGTAGATTCATAATATTCACGATTTATAAATTAAAAAGTTTTCAACATCCCAATTATTTTAAACCTACAATTTTATTTTGTCTTTGATTTTTTGCGGGAATTTTTGTTAGTGTGATGTGACTGAGTAGACCCATTTTCTAAAACTGCGCGTTTCTTTTTGTGAATTTCTTTGACACCACCAAAATCTGTGTCATGAAGATGCTAATAGTGATAATAATGGAAAAGAATGATGTATTTAGATTATACGTATTAACCTATTTGATAACTAATGACTAAGAATTTACCATCACAGCCACTCGTTTTGCTGTAGCAATTTCGTTTAAACTTTCCACTACTTTATTCTCGTTAATTTTCCATTCTTCCATTTGTTTATCTAAAGAATTTTTTTTTTAAAAAAAATTAATCAAGATTTATTTTGTTATATAAGAGAATCATTAATCGATTGGTTTATTACTTGTTCTAGCTTCTATATTGTGAACAAGATCTATGTCACGTTCCGTAACGATTGACAACGCTACACCGCCTCTACCTGACAAATGATTTGGCAAAAGTTTATTTAAGAATTTAATACATTTTATTACCGTTTATATTCTCACCTGCTCTTGCTGTTCGGCCGACTCTGTGAATATAATCAGCTGGATCCTTAGGCACATCAAAATTAATGACAACTTGTACAGTAGGAATATCGAGACCTCTACAATACAAATATAATAAATAAGTAAACGAGAATAAATAAATAAAAATGATTCAAAAGAAAAATAAAAAGAATTATATATAAATATTTACTTAAATTTAAATGCAAGTTATATTTAATAA